CGGAGCACGGTGGCGGCCCACTACGCGCGCTACGCGCACCTGTCGCTGGCCCGGCTGCGCGCCTACCACTCGGCGGCGGCGCACGCGCTGCTCGCCTCGCCCGCCGGGCCGGCCGGACCGCCGCACGTGCACCGAGACGTCCAGCAGCTGCGCCAGCAGGTGGGTCTGTTGGCTGGGGCTGGGGGAGCGGGAGGGGGGAAGGGGGAGGCGGGGGGGAGGGGGAGGGGAGGGGAGGAGAGTGAACGCTGTCTGGGTGTCGCCGGGCGCGCGCGCGCGCTCTTTCAAAGCGGCAGCGCGCCGGGCTCCGGCCTGGTGACGGTGTGACAGCCGTCGGCATGACCCGCGAGCCCGCACAGGTCACGCGTCTGCGCCGCCGCCGGTGCGGTGGCGGCGGGCGTGCGCGCTGTGTGCGGCTGGTCAGCGGCGATCGGAGTATCATACTGCCGGGCGCGGCCGTCGTCTACCGCCGGCGAGCGGATGGCCGGCAGCAGACGCTCCTGGACAATGTGAGACGCCTTCGCGGAGCCCGCCGAGCCGCGCTGGACGAGAGTGCCGCGCCGACCGCTGGTAGGACGTGACCATCCCCACTCTGCCTGTCTGTGTGCGTGTCGGTCGATCGGTGTCCTCGCTCGCCCGCGGGCGCTCGTCTGCGCCGGTGCCCGCGACCGTCCGTACCGTCGCGTCGCAGCGCCGCCTGCGTCGCGCGCGCCGGCCGTTGACTCTCCCGCGGCGGCTGACCGGCAGGCGGGATGCTACCCGGCGCGGCCGGCCTACTCGCCCGGCGCGCAGGCGTCGCACTTCTCGGCGTCCAACCTGCAGCTGCTGCGCGACGCGCGCCAGCAGCCGGCGGCGCCGGCGCCGCCGGCCCTTCAGCCCGGGGCAGCGCGGCGGCGGCCGGCGGCCGGCTCACGCACAGCCCGCACGGCAGCCTGCACAGCCCGCTGAGCGTCAGTCTGGGCAGTCCGCACCCTCGCCCGCCAGGTAAGCACGCAGCGCAGTCTGCACCCCTCGCCGCCAGGTGAGCATGCATCGCAGTCGCCAACCCTCACCCGCCAGGTGAGCACGCAGCGCAGTCTGCACCCCTCATCCCCAGGTGAGCACGCAGCGCAGTCTGCACCCCTCGCCCGCCAGGTGATCACGCATCGCAGTCCGCAAACCCTCACCCGCAGACGAGCACGCAGCGCAAGTCTGCACCCCTCATCCTCCAGGTGAGCACGCAGCGCAGTCTGAAACCCCTCGCCGCCAGGTGAGGGTGGGCGGCCGCGCTTCCCGCCAGTTCAACGCGCAGTCCGCCTCTGTCTTCTGCCAGGCTGGCACGCCGTACACAGTTCACATCCAGCCCACACAGTTCGAGTTCACATCCAGACCAGAGAGTCCCATCCAGTCCCACAGAGTCGGCGATCCAGCCCCACAGTTCCACAGAGGTTGAACGGTTCGCTGAAGCAGCACACTGCTCCCACCAGGCGGAGGCGGGCGCGCGCTGCTGTACCAGGCAGGGCGCACTGGGATGTGTACTCGGACTGAGGGGACGACGAATTGACTGTGCTGGGGAATAATGAAGTCCCTCCGCCAGATAAGGCGACCCAAGGCAGTGAGTTGAGTTAGCGTACGTGTTGGGCGGGGCAGACGACGTCGAATGGCTTAGCCCAATGTGCCGTAAAATACGTAAGTTGCTCAGTGCGTTAGCGGGAAACATCATTCACACAGATGAGACTAGTATTAGCCTTATTCGTCGGAAAACCAGGAGAATGGAGATATAGTTAGGCTCTTTTATATAGGTTACTATTATATAGATTATATTAGTTAGATTACTACATCTCCATTCTCCTGGTTTTCCTAGGAATAGGGCTGATACTTTTGTCTTATCTGTGCCTTAAAATATGTTATTGATCGGCACAAGTTGGTATCTGTAAGTTATTTGCCATGTATTTCCGCTAGGGTAATTTTCGCTCTGCCCACATGAAGTGTTAAACCATGCATGAAGTTCATACAAGGGTCTGATGACCTGATGCGTATGTACTGGTGGGAAACTCGCGAAGCCCGAGCGGAAGACGTTATTGGCGCTTTCAACGGTGGGCACCTGTCTGTTCTCAGCACGAGCCCGCAGGCGCCGTCGCCACTGCCGTCGACGGTGGCGCCGCCGCCGGCGCCGCTCGGCAGGAGCAGTCCCAGCAGTGAATTCTTCCCGATGCGGTGAGCCGGCCGAGCCGGGCCCTGACATCGGCGGCGGGGTGGCGGTGTCCCGCGCGGTGGCGAAGTGGGACTGACGCTGTTCGCGGACGGGAGATGTGCACCCGAGCCCGCGGCCGCTCGGAGGCGTGGTCTGGACGGCGGATGCTCGGGCGGCCGGTCGGCGCGCGCCGCGGCCGGCCGGGACGTGTTCGGAGTCGCCGATGACGCCGTGGTGTGTGTCGGAGTCGCCGGTGACGCCGTGGCGTGTGTTCAGAGTCGCCGGTGACGCCGTGGCGCGTGTTCGGAGTCGGTGCCGCGCCGTGCCGCGTGTGGTTGTGTGTCACCCTCCCGCTGCAGCTGTGAGTTGTTGGCATCTCCGCCTACCCAGCACTGTTCTACTCTGTCGGCCGGGCCCTGGACTCGGCGTCAATACTCTGGTGTAAAATAACCTCAGCAGGGGGCGTGTCATAAAACCCTATCATCATCGACCTCAATATTGTGTTCACCACAGTGAATCTACGGGCGGTCCCCTGTACCGTTTGTCTTAGTCGGGACCTCCTGGATGCCTCCGAAATCCGCGTGGCACCGCCTTCAACCCCGGCGTCCCTCGCGTCCCGCGTCGTTGTCTCACGCCCTCGCTCCTGACCGACCGCGGCTCCGCCGCCGGCAGATCGCGCGCCAATACCATGTCGCCGCCGCGCGGCGGCCGCCGCTACGGCTGCCGGCCGCGCAGCGGCAGCTTCAACCTGCCGCCGCGGCCGCGCTCGTCGGCCTCGCTGACGCTGCCGCCGCGGCGCGCCGGCTTCAGCATCGCCGAGATCATGGAGCCGGCGGCGGAGGCGAGCGGCGCGCTGGACCTGAGCGTGCGCCGGCGCGCCGCGCCCTTCGACGACCTGCAGGTCAGGCGGGCGGCGGCCGGGTGCTCGGCCGGGGCGCGGCGGCGTCGAGCGGGCACGGTGGGGTCGGCGAAGGGAGATGGTGGCGGTCACTGAGTGGGAGGACCCGCTGGGAGTGGGGGGGGGATGGTGGGGCGGTGGGTGGAGGTGGTGACGGTCACTGACTGGGAGGACCCACTGAGTGGGGACAGTGGAGGTGGTGGTGGAGGTGATGGCGGTCTCTGAGTGGGAAGGGCCGCTGGGTGGTGACGGTGGAGGCGGTGGGTGAAGATGGTGGCGGTCACTGACTGGGAGGGGCCGCTGGGTGAGGACGGTGGATGCGGCGGTGGAAGTGGTGGCGGTCACTGAGTAGGAGAACCTGCTGTGGGGACGGTGGAGACGGTGGGTGGAGGTGATGGCGGTCACTGAGTGGGAGGGGTCGCTGAGTGAGGACGGTGGAGGCGGTGGGTGAAGTTACCCGGACCGCTGATTGGGTACGGTGTGGTTACGGGGAATGGCGTAGGTAGACGTCGCGGTCAGGCCGGCGGCTCGCTCTGCCTCAGGGTCAGGTCAGGGTCAGGGTCGCTCTGCCTCAGGAGGCGTTCCCATGCGACGCACGGGAGGTCTCTGGACGGCCGGTGTGCGGGGCCGCCGCCCGCTGGACGGATCGGCCGGCGCTTCCGCTCGCCGACGTTCGTGATCTACACGCGGCCCCTGGTGTGTCACGCCGGGGCTCTCAGTAAAAGTTTGTGCCCTTCGGCCTGTAGTATGTGAACGTCCCAGCTTGCCCGTTGGGATACCGTGCGGTTCGCTGGGCTCGCCTCTGGCCCCGGGCTGTTGGTCGGCAGAAGCGCGGCTCCGCCGCCGGGCGTCACCGGCTCCAGCTCCGGCTCGCTCCTGTCAGGATCGGCCAGCCGCCGTCGGCAGGCGTCGTCGCCGCCGGCGGCGGCAGCGGCGGCGGTGTGCGATCGGTGCCCCGAAGCGAGGTGCGACTACAGCTGGGCCCCCGGGGCGGTGCGTCCCCGCTCGTGTGTGACCGGCGTCTGTGCGCTGACGGCGGCGGCCTCTGGGTCCCAGGAGGACCCCCAGGACAGCATCAGCGAGTGCGTGTCGGACGCCGTGGAGCGCTTCCTGGACGAGGACTCGAAGCAGAGCGGTACGGCGCAAGACTCGGGCATCAGCGAGATGAATCGCGTCACCGACTCGGCCGCCAGTGAACTGAATAAGCCGTCCGACTCCGGGTCAGTCACGGGGTGGAGAACGGCGGGTGCTTCAGCGTCGTAGAATCGTGTGGGCTTTGGATGGCTGCATGTTGGGTGGCTCACGCGGTAAGCGTTATAATGTGCTTGTGGGTTGTGATTAAAGTTTTTTCTGATCTGTCTTCTTGTTGTCCGTGGCTCAGTGGTTTATGCATCATCATTGGATGGCCTCTGGTAGTTGTATCGACGGTGGTAAGTTGACTCAACGTTTTATATGATCTTCCGCGGTCGTCTTCGCTTTCGCCGGGCGTGCTGTTCTTGTAAGGCGAGTGCCGGTAGGCACACTCCACCACGCGAGAGAACACGTACGCGCACCCCATCGCAGTGTGCGCGTGCTGAGCGCGTGCTGAGCAAACGCGTCTGCCGGCGCCGCGCGCGTCTGGCGCGCGTGCCTGCCGCCGGGGCGGCGCGCCGTCGCCGCGGCGAGCCGTCGACTGACGGCGCGTCCCCGCCGCAGCTCGGCCGGCAGCAAGCTGACGGGTTCGGCCGGCTCGGCGCTCAGCCAGCAGGCGGCCGGCGCCATCTCGCAGCCGCCCAAGAAGCGGCGGCTGGCCGGCCTGGCGGCGGCCGAGGCGGCGGCGCCGGCCCGCCAGGCCGTCATCACCGGCTACTTTCCGGCGGCGGCGCGCGCCGCCGCGGCCCCGACGCCGCCGACGCCGGCGGCGGCCGAGCCGGAGTCGGCCGGCTCGCCGGCGCCGCCCGCCCAGGACGCCGACGCCGCCAAAGGTGGGGTGGCGGACGCGCTGTCTGACGCTGGGATGTGCGGGGGACCGGCCGTTCTGGTTGTGGATGTTTGGTGCGCTGCCGCGGGAGATGTTTGGACCTGTTTAGAAGTCCATTTCGTGGATGTGGTTGTGAAAATATGAGTGATGTCCCGGTTGTTTGGCTATGATTAATGCTTATTTATGAGCCAGGTGCACGGGATGATGCGTTGTGTGTATTTGTGCGTCAGGTACATTTTTTAATTAGGCTGCCGATAGTGTAGTGGTTGAGCTGCGCGTCTGGAAAACCAGAGGTACGGGGTTCGATTCCCTGCGATGTCCGCCTTTCCTGCCAGGGTGGGAGACAGGCGACGTCACCCAGCCGCACGATCCGGGTGCGTCGTTAAGTCCCAATGACACGCGCACACGCATTTTGAAACTATGATGCGGCGAACGCTCCATCCCGAAAAATTTGCCAGTGCCGCTAACGCCCGATAGCACCAGTCACGCGAAGCGTGACTGGTGCCGGCTCTGGCGTCCCTACCGCGCGTGCCCCGCGTCAGCCCCCGCCGCGGCCTGGCATCAGACCCGCAGCGTTGTGACGCGTTGCCGCTCGCCCGTTCCCGTCCCGCGCCCGTCCGTCATCCGTTGCCATCCGTCTCCCGTTGCCGTCCCTTTCCCGTTCCCGTCCCGTCTCCCGCCGCGGTCCCGCTCTCGCTGCCATGCTCGGCCCGTGCCGGCGTCGTCGGCGGAGTCGTTCCCCACCGCAGCCGGTGCGGGTGTCGGGGTGGCGCTCGGCCGTCCTCCGAAAGCGCTGACCGACGCTCTTGTGCGGCGCAGCGGCGGCGCCGGCGTCCGAGGCCGAGACCAAGGAGCAGTGGTCGCGCATCATGTCCAAGATGCGGCCGTCGTCGGTGACGGCCGCCCAGCAGCAGCGCACGCAGGTCAACGGTGACCGACCCCCGCAGCCGGACAGGAAGTGTCCCTTCTATAAACTAATACCGGGTACGTACAGCCGCCGCCGCGCCGCAGCGGCCGCCGCGGTGTGAGCGCATGCGGTGGCCGCCGTCGGGGTACGCTGCGCGGGCGAGGCGGGGGCGAGGTGGACTACAGTCGGTGGGTGGCGGCGCGGCCGGCGCGGCCGGCGGCGCGAGCGGTCTTCCGCGTGTGGCCTCGTCGGAGGCCGCTGAACTGTCGGTGAAGGAGGCGTGTTGGGAGCACGCGGCGCGGTGCGTGTGTAGCCCTGCGAGTGTGGTGGGCTTGCCGGGCGGGTTTTGTGTAGTCCGGAATGCTTCTACTACGGCTTTAGGCCTTAGTCGAAGCATTCCGGTCGGAAGTCGGACGAGCGCAGGCCTTAGATATCCGCTCGTCCCACTTCTGTTGTCGTAAGGTGTCTGTACTTTTGTCGCCGCGTGTGTAGGCTCCTTCGTCCTCCTCTGTACCTGCCTCCGTCTGCTCCGGCACTGTTGCGTTGTCCTCTGCCGTAGCCTCCGTTACGCCCTCTGCGTGACGTGACGTGACTCGTGACATCGTGACCCGTTACCCTCCGTGTCCGGCCGGTCGCCCAGCGCTCGGCGCCAAAGGACCCGGAAATCGCGCCCAAACGCCAGCCAGCATGGAGATAACTGTGGTCTAGTCGTCGCTCCGGCTCTGACTGTACAACTCATATTTACTGTGTACAACTCGTCGCGCAGGGGCGCCGTTCGCCGTGGACGCCTTCAACTACGGCATCGTGCCAGGCGTGGAGGCGTACTTCCTGAGTCACTTCCACTACGACCACTACCGCGGCCTCTCCAAGACCTTCCCGAAGACCGTCTACTGTGGCAAGGTTACCGGTGAGTGTGTGTGGGGGAGAGGGCGCGGTGGTGGGACACGCGGCGCGCGCTCTCTGCGACTGACAGG